AACTCTATATCTCCGAAACACAAACCTTGACGAACAAGGCTGCTGCGCGGAGAAACGAATTGAGCGCGGTACTACCAGGGACGTGGTGGGGATTGAACTCGGAACCACTCGTTTATGAAGCGAGCGCTCTACCACTACACCACTACCGCATTTTTACGTCCTGTGCCCACTGGGATATATATATATATATATATATATATATATATATATATATATATATATATATATATATATATAGATATGTATATATATATATATATATATATATATATATATATATATATATACATATAGATAGATAGATATATAATTAAACATATATATATATATAAATATATATAAATATATATATATATATATATATATATATATATATATATATATATATATATATATATATATATATATATACACATAAATGTACATATATAAATATATATATATATGTATATATATAGATGTATATATATATATATATATATATATATATATATATATATATATATATATATATATATATATATATATATATATATATATATATATATATATATATATATATATATATATATATATATATGTATATATATATATATAGATAGATATATATATGTATACATATATGTATATATATATATAAATATAAATGTATATAAATATATATATATATATATATATAAATATATATACACATAAATGTATATATATATATATATATATATATATATATATATATATATATATATATATATATATATATATATATATATATATATGTAGATGTATACATATATATATATATATGTATACATAAATATATATATATACGTAAAACTATGTAAAGTATCATATATATATCACACTTGAATAAATGATAAGCTTGGTTTATATTTTATTCAATGCATATATATGTATACATATATATATATATATATGCATACATATATATATATATGTATACATATATATATATATATATATGTATACATATATATATATATATATATATATATATATATATATATATATATAGATATATATATGCGTTACACTATGAATAATAAAATAAACCAAGCTTATCATATATACACAGTGTGAATAAATATAGAAACTATAAATAGTATATACGTATATATAAATATAGATATATATATAGATTTATATATATATATACATATATATATGTTTCACCGTTATGAAAACGTAGTATTATATTTTAATAAGTTTCCGTAAGGAATATGAAACCACTGATAAAAACATGCAACATTTGAAATTGACTTTAAAACCTAAAAAAAAAAACTCTAGTAAAACTGCCCGTAATATACACGTGCTTTTGGTTTACGCTTGAATCGTGAAAAACACGTGCCTATATAGGTTTTATTTACGAAAAAGAAACTTATATATATATATATATATATATATATATATATATATATATATATATATATATATATATATATATATATAAATATATATATATATATATATATATATATATATATATATATATATATATATTTATATATATATATATATATATATATATGCATATATATAATTTATATATATATGTATATATAAAATATATATATATATATATATATATAGTTTGGGAGTCTGGAGTCGTAGCATGCCATGAGATGAGCAATCAGCTGACAGGTGACAGCACACAGGCAGAATTTCATTGACAAGTGCCATTTTGCAGCTGACAAAACAAGTACAACTTTTTTGGTTTGTTTCATTTTCTTAAGTCAGGACCTTGTCAACGTCAAAAAGTTTCCAGAAGCATGCAGAAGCTTCCAGAAGTTTCCAGAAGAAGCATCTGGAAGCATCCAAAAGTATCCAGAAACATTCAAAGGATCCAGATGCATCCAGAAGCTTCCAGAAGCATCGAAAAGAAGCATTTAGAATTTTCCAGAACAGTTTCACACAGGTTCATTTTACTATACAAGAGACATGTAAACCGACATGAAATTCAGTCAGTATATGGATGTCAATCAGTCAGTATTATCAAGACAGTTTATCGAAGTGAGTTTTATCAATGTGTTTTATCAAAGAACATCAATACAAGAAGTGAAATACAACAAGTGTTTTATTAAATTAATACAGTCCAGATCCAACCAAGACGCTGTGTTCCACACAGCATTATTGTATCATCACAAGGTAAATATAACACATTAAGCCTTGAGAAGCATAATTATTTATTTTTAATTTTTGGCTATTATGTAAGTGGAATGTCACAAAAATTTATTTATGATAAATATTGCGTGAAAAAATGGACCGTATCAAGACTATGTTCCAAATATCGTTCTACAAAGAAGTTAGCAACAGTTAAAAAAGGTGGAAAACCACGTTCCATCACTTCTGGAGAGGATTCTATGATTGTCAGATCCGTCAAGAAGGATCCCTGGATATCATCAACAGAGATACAAAAGCAATTAGAGCTGCCTGTATCGGATAGAACAATCAAACGACGTACTGTTGAAGCCAGATTGTTTTCTCGACGCTCTGCAAAGAAACCGCTGATTTCACTAACAAACCAGAAGAAAATACTCCTGTTAGCTACATTTCATATTAACTGGAATGTGCAGAAACGGCGAACAGTCCTGTTTAGTGATGAATCGAAGTTCAACATCATTGGGAGCGATGGCATTTGCTATGTACGTCGACCGACCGGAAAATGCCTTGATTTACATTACTGCCATAAGATCGTAAAGAATGGTGGGGGGGGGGGGGGCAATGTAATGGTCTGGAGGTGTTTTTCTGCTAACGCTCTAGGTCCATTACACCGAATCGATGAAATAATGGACCGTTTCATGTATAAAAACATCCTGAAAGATGTTATATTGGTTTTTCAGCATGACAACGATCCAAAACATGCTGCAAAAGTGATCAAACAGTGGTTTCAAGACAACCACCTATTGGTGATGGATTAACCGCCTCAATCACCGGATCTTAACCCTTTCGAGAACCTGTGGGAGATTGTCAACCACAGAATTATTCGTGAAAGTGTTCGTAACAAGGATCAACTGTTTGAACAAATCTAAAAGACCTGGGTAGCGATTCCACAAAGTTTCTTTTGATCACCTAGTTGAATCTATGCCTTGAAGATGCAAAGCTGTGATCGACAACGAAGGATTCGCCACGAAATATTGATAGCGAAATACAGCTTGGTCAACATTTTGTGGAGTGCCACTTGTTTTGTCCAGAAGGAAATAAACTTTTTTTAATACTTTTGATTAATTTATTAATTTTCGTGTACAAATAATGAACTTTGTCATAAATAAAACTTGAAGAACGTTGTCTCTAAACAGTTGCATAGTTATTTCTCTAATTTAAAAAAAATGAAGCACTTTTATATAAAGAAACTAAATTAGCATTATTTGGTTGCACTTATATATATATATATATATATATATATATATATATATATATATATATATATATATATATATTATATATATATATATATATATATATATATATATATATATATACATAAATATATATATATATATATATATATATATATATATATACATATATATATATATATATATATATATATATATATATATATATATATATATGTATATATATATATATATATATATATATATATATATATATATATATATATACATATATATATATATATCTGTCACAGATGGTTCTATCTAGACACACATATATATCTAATTAGAATATAGGACATTTTATGTTAGTCCAATTTCGTTCGTCGTTTGTCCAATTTCGGACGACCATGGTTTTAAGGACGTCTGCGTGTCCGCTGAGATAGAAAATACAAACAATTATTCATACACACCTATACAAGTAAGTATCATTATTTATGCTTATTTATTTGTGTAGAAATACCAATTAAAAAACTTAAATTGCAAAAAATTATATTTTTTTGCTTTTATTTACAATTTATATGAACTACAACTTTTTATTAAATTAAAAAAGTATATTCTGTATTAGTTCTGTACACAAAACTAAACTGATGAATCATGCAATGAAGACGCAATATTTACTTCAAAGTCTTTATCTAGCAATCTTACAGTACCTTCAAACAGTAGCTAAAAATGGTTTTTTATGAAATCCCATGTAGAAACAAAATATAAAGAAAAGAGTCGATAATAACGAAAGATTGCTTTTGCCCGCCATTTCAAAATCTAACATTGTTATCTAGTAGCAAGCAAAACCGTTAAAAATCGATGGCTCCACGCTAAATTGGTCTATCTGCAATCTCCGCGAAAAACATTTTTTGGTCTATTTGCAATCTCCGAATAAAACATTTTTGATCTTTCCCAGTATGCACAGGACGTTTTTAAAAGTTTTAATTCCGCTCAATTTACCGTCGAAAGTTAAAAGAACCAATACAATCGTTTTTAATATTAATTTAGACGTTTTTTCAGCGTTTTTTCAGCGTTTTTTTTAATAACTTACGAAATTTCTCAGTTAGCTTATGAACGTTTTTAAAGTGTTTTTTTAACGTAATAAAAAAACGTTTATTATCAAAAAAAGTGAGTATGTTTACGCAAAATCAAAAAGAGTGAGTATGTTTACGCAAATAATGGCGTGATCTTTGATTTAGCGAACTGATATATTTAAGTAAAAATTATATAAAGTAACAAATCTTTAAATCAACCAAGTGTTTGCATTGTTTTCTTGTGAAGTTAAATATGAAAATATATAAGAGTATTTTTAGTTTAAAGTTGTATGCCTTCGTTGAAACTAGGTTGTGTTGGTATTTCTACTTAAATCAAGTAGATATAAATATTAAAGTTTTTATGGTGTGGTTAACTAGATTATTTTACTTTTTGATAAATAATTTAATAGTGAAGTAAACTTGATTGCTGAAGAAACTAGATTAAGTTTTCAATTCTAATTGGTTATCAACTGTTTTTACTGCAAAAAGTTCATTTGGATTTGAGAAAAAAGAACAACATTCTCAGAGTTTTTCTTCTTTAACACTTAAAATAAAAAATGATAATATC